GGACGGTCATTTGTTATACCCGTTTGGTTGTAACGAGCTGCAAGCAGTGATATCGTGCTCAGACTAACATTCAGGCGCCTGGCAACAGAAAATTGGTAAGCTCCAGTGTGCATTCTTCCAATGGCGATGTTCCGTGTCGCAGCGTCAAGACTTGGCGTAGTGATTTGACCTTGAAACTCCTTTAAAACGGATGCCGATTTCCGAAAGTAATCTGGATTTTTATAGCCAGACAGTGCATCATCTTTGCTGCACAATATCAACTGTAAGGTGATTCCTGTTGCGTTGTGGTGATGCCTTTTCAATTCTTGTAAGAAATCTCATCAAAATCAACATTTTCAGGTAAAGTCGACTTTTCACTTGTGCAATTGTGTAAAGTCATGTCATGTTATCAACACTTTTTTACATACTTTGACGATTGTTTGAACACAATAGGTAATTAATAGATTTTTAAAAATACAAAACACCTATGCCTTTTTGGGGGGGATATTATATAACAATTCATAATACAAGAGGGGCAGATATCAGATTCATGTCAGATGAATTTGAGTGTATTAATGGCAGGTTAAATCTCAATCATCACATGCATTTATGTGGCAAGGGTAAGTCAGTTCGAACAGTGTTGTAGGTAATTGCCCGGAACTCACTGCCTTCGTTTCTGTGGGCTTGCGTGAAACGCTGTTCAAAGCAACCTCGTTATCGCTGATGTGAGATACACGATATTTAAGCTGGGAAATACATTAAAAGCAGAAATATCAGTTAATGATACGCAAACTTTAAGGGCAGCTTTTGAAGAAAGTGGAAAATTATGCAAATATGTTTTCCAAATTCAGTTGGAATTCAGTTTACTTATGAATTGACTTACTTGATACAATATTGCATAAATGTTGCTGTAAATCTGATCTGTAAGTAATTCAGACTCTGTCATCTACCCTTTACCACACTTCAGGATAAAGAGGTTGTAGCGTATCAAACACGTGTCCCTGCAAAGAGGTTTTAACTGCACAATGTTGTTAGCCTACACTCAGTCCTATCGGACCCGTGAAGATCCCGGGTAGAATAGGTCTTCAGCAACCCATGCTTGCCACAAAAGGCGACTATGCTTGTCGTAAAAGGCGACTAACGGGATCGGGTGGTCAGGCTCGCTGACTTGGTTGACACATGTCATCGGTTCCCAATTGCGCATATCGATGTTCATGCTGTTGATCACTGGATTGTCTGGTCCAGACTCGATTATTTACAGACCGCCGCCATATAGCTTGAATATTGCTAACTGCGGCGTAAAACTAAACTCCCTCCTTCAGTCCTATCGACTCGTTAGTTTCTATTCGAGTATTCTTCACTATATATTATGGAATCAAAAGTAACAAGATTGTCAACAGAAAACTTTTCCGACCCTTTCACCTGTGTCACTTCAGGTTAAAGGCAGGGGTGAGCTATTCCTTCAGAGGCCGAGTTTTGACCCTCAGGAATGCCACAAAAATTTCATCGTGGGTTTGCATGACCTCTCAGAGACTTAGGCATTGGAATTAACTGCGGAAGTCATTTTCAAGACTTTGGTTATATATGTTGTCTTTGAGCACAAATTATTCCTAGTTCCAATCTCATACGCACAACATTTATTTGCTTTTAAGCCAATTTCCTGCACATATAGAGGTGGTAGTTGGACAAATGTGTGTTAGTGGTTATCAAGATAGCCATTAAGCCTTACAAGGTATGAGCTGATTTTAGGGTGTGTGGCCATATGCCCAACATCGTCGTATAATCAATCACTGACCAATTTCTTACAAATCTTGCCAGACAACCTCTGACCATGTTCCGAGATAAGTGAGGCAGTGATAACAGACAAGACTGCTCCAACATTAAATCAACCGCAATGTTCTGTGCTGTACTCACGCAGGCAATGCTATACTGCCGCAATACATATCACAAGGAGGAATTGGTGATCACGTTTAATGCATTTTTCAGGAATATTGAAGGTAGTTTTGTTCCGCTTTAACACATTCTCTAAGCATCGGCATGAGGGTATAAACACGTTGCCCATGACATGTTGGGATCAGATATCTTTGATATTGTAAACATTTGTATATGTCAGAGGAACAATGGAGGTTCAAAGTGAATGATGCAATGACTTTTATAAGTACACTAAATATGTATTTGAAAGCGTTGACATTTAAAGAAGGGGGAGTTTTTACTCTGGCATTCCCTCAATGATTTATGTCCGTATTTGACCATTTTTGCACAAATGTAAATGATGATATTTCAGTGATGTGAAGGGCAATGTAGTCTCGTAGCCAGTAAGCAGAATATTTTATTAATTGACTGAATACGGATTCACGCTTTTCTTGGTATTATTCCGGTGATGTCCGGTTAGGTGCAAACAAGATTGGAGGTCCATTTTAATGCCTTGGCATCCTGTGTCCCTGAGCTGTAGACACCTGGCACATTTCAATATAACTGCCAAACATCATCGTATGGAAACATCGTCATAGATTACAACGTTACTTTACCATCATATAATTCCAATACTGTCCAGGGTTTAACTGAACCCACTCACACTCAAAAATGCTTCCGAGCCTGAAACCCCAGATTTGCCTATTTGTTCTTTGAGGACTCTTTGTGAGGAACTACTTTATAGAGAAGAACTAGAACTGAAGTGTCACATCGTAATGGGGTGTCGTACTCCAGTCAATACTTCATAAGAGAACCAAGGATCTAAAACACATTCATAGGCATATAGCAAGAATTGTAAAGCCTTGAAATCATAATTTTCGAACGCTGTTTCATGTACGCATTACTCTGATCACGTCTTTGTTACTGATAATCATGTTTTGATAATTCTGTTATCGAACACCTCTGCACTCTGACGCTCCTCATAAAACTAGTAATCAAGTTACTCTATCACCAGTCAGTGATTTCGATTGAAGGTATGGGAAACATGATGTCTTTAATAAAATTAATTCTAGGAGATGGGGGATTGTCACCATTCAGGTCTAAACCATTTCAAGCATAACCGTGAACTATCATACCACGAACTCTAATATTACCTGGATGGCAAGAAACTAAGGACGATCAACCCTATCAACAATCGTTGTTATGCACACCCTTGTTTAAACACGTCTGATCCGCATGATCTCGAGGTTTTGACGAAGCTACTCAAGACGTAAATATTGATTCGATTTTTCACTGTCTGAATATGTGACTTGTGCGTCCCACCATCATATGAGAATGTAAGAATCCCCCTTAAAAGGGTTAATCCTATGATTCCGTTTCCATCATAAACGCATCTTTGAATCAATTAAAAAACTGTTGATGATAACAGCTATTTTTAATAAGGTAAGCGGGTCCTGTCCACTGGTGTCACAAACACATGCAAGGCAAAGTCAAATTATCTCCCTGAATACACACGAAAATATAGTTTATGTCAGAATAGGAAATAGCAACTGGCAAACAAGATATAGACGTTTAGAAACTATGGTCTTGGTCCTGTTCCGGAGTGCGAGTTTAGTGTTACGATTGTAGTAAGTCCGTCTTAAATAGTCGGTAGCTGAAACTCTACGATCGCTTTGTAGAAAAAGACCTGGACGTTTGTAAAGAACGATCTTTCAAGACTTTGGAAAAATATTAAACACGTTTGACTGCAAGAAGAAGCTTGGCCAATGGGGATATATTTGATCTTCACCGAAAGAGCCCATATTTGTAATCACATATGTGGTTGAATGATGTAATGTTCAACTCTGGTAGTCACCTGAGACAGGAAGACGCTCTACCCTCCGTGCGTCATCAAGGCTGGAGGAAATAACTTTCATTTAGAGAACGGAAATATTACTGTTATCGATTTGTAATTATATACAACTGCAAGGGAGTGCTTACGTTCTTAACGATGCACTGAAAACACTGAGTGTGCATCAATGAAAACCAAGTTCTATGGATAGTCAACTTATTGGAGTGAGTTGGAACATGGAGAATATATACATAGCTGTATAGTGAGTATATACAATTGACAAGGTTGATATACATTGGATTGCTAATTAGTGATTTGAGCAGAGTAGGCTGATGTACAGAGTAATAGTGATTAAAACAATATGCAGAATGAGTTTATACAATAGATGAGTTGATGTACACTGAGATGGTAATCGTGAGTTGAAGAAGGTAGGTTGATGTACACATTGATTGGTTGTGATTACAATACACAAAAGGGAGCATAGAAGGCAATTGGACGAGGTATGGGTGGATTGCTGGTGATCTCTAATTAGGTGGTGATATAGACAATCACATATACTCACTATGCAGCTATGTATATATTCTCCATGTTCTAACGGTGTCTTCTCATGAAGTCACTAGTAGGGGGAACACTATTCGCACTAAGTCACTGGCGATTTTGCTTTCAAGTTTCTAATCAAATTAGGATTAACGGATTAGGGATTAACGGATTAGTCAGTTGGGCACTCGAGCGAGAGACGCCAATGAGCTGAACGGTTAACTGTAAATTACATGAAATTTATTAGTGAACTCTGTTCAACAATTTTATGACAAATATAAATAGATGGTCCGGACCACTTTCGTCACTAAGTCCTACCATGGCAAAGGCAAAAGTTCATCCCAACTTCGAGAGGCGGCAGATATCTTTTTTCGGGTGGTTTCATGTACAGAGTCAACACAAGGAAACGTGATGAAACCTTAGTATGGATGTGTACGACCACGGATTGCCATATGACCGTGACCACTCTCAGTGATATCCTCACCAGACCCTCCCAGAACCACAACCACCCACCGGTGGAGACCGACATCAAGGTGAGAGAGACCATGGAGACACTAAAAGAAAAGTCAAGGCCACGATCAGACCTCTGCCGCAGCTGTTCCAGGAAGAAGTAGACAGTATGCGGGGTGATGACTGGACACCGGAACACGCCACCCTTGTTGGCAACTTACCTACGTTTCATATGAAGAAGGACACCCTGTATAGAGCAAGGAAGAAGTCATTTCCTCCTCTACCATCCCATCGTCGTGACCTAGTAATCCCTGAGCAGTACCAAACAACAGAAGGCGGGGAACAGTTCCTGGCATTTGAAGATGGGGACGAGGACAAGATCCTGGGATTCGCCACCACTTCCAAGTTGTGTCAAGCCGACACCTTCTTTGCAGATGGTACGTTTTATGTGACGCCTCACGTATTTTACCAGCTGTACACCACCCATGCTGTTACAGACGTCGGTCAGATGTTACCCTTGGTCTACCTGCTGCTACCAGACAAGAGTTCCAATTATCTGCCCCCCCCCCCCCCCTACCCCCAGTCACCTTCGGTCCCAATCCGGATTAGTAAATTTAATCTGACTATTATGTCCCGTAATTGCAATAATTGACTATTTAGCACGAAGTCACCCAGTAGGGTTAGCGTTTTACCAAGTTGGTGACTTTATGAGAATAAACCGTTCTAACTGTATCACTTGCTTGACAACGGTGTTAGTACCTAAACGTCGTTCTCATTGCAATAAAGAAGTTGACTATCCATAGAACTTGGCTTTCCTTCATATATACAACTTCTAAAATGCCTCTCAAAGAAGTTAAGACTTTGCATCATCACACAGAATGTGAGTCCAACTCGATCCCTCCAAATTAAGTCCTAATAACAGTGTTACAACACAGTTATAAGAATTCTGTGGACTATGATAACATTTAGTTTTGTCAACAAAACATATGTGTGACTAAAGTTTCCATGGGAACGGTTTATCAGAGGATAAAGGGTTGTCGTTCTAAAGTAAAATGGGTTATATTGAAAAAGCATTACTATGAGTGTTCTGACGCAATATGATTTTCGCACATCAGTCGTTAAGTTTGGTTCTATTTTGTCGATCACTTCAGTATAACATGCAACCAAATTTTATTTGGTAACTCACCCCAATCGATGATTATGTACCATATATATCTCTGAAACTGATAACGAAATGTGTCTGTTGCAAAAGAACAATTTAAGATAATCACATGTGAACGTACTACATTGTATGTTCTGTTAAAATCTGAGTTGAAGAAGTGGAAAGGTTCGTTATGTAAACGATTTATATTCATATTATTGTCGACAAGAACTTCTGGAAAGAACTGGAAACATACAAACACACATCGGAACAGTAGACATGCATCGATAAACTGCCCACTCACTCACTAATTGTTTGACAACTCAATGCAGTCTCTTGGTTTAAGCTCACTGTCACCATTAAACAGATAGAAGAAGCGTTGGTCCTCAGGAATTCTCAGGATTTTAGATGATCCCTTCTCTAACATTACAAACAATGTGTATTATTACAAACGTTTTTCTGAGACACATAGAATAATGACACCACCACCTTGAATATTGCTCGTGAAAATTCCATTTATACTGTGATATGTTTCAAAAACGACATAAAACGTATTTGGCTTACGGATGAGCTACCAATGTTGTGAATGTGAGCTCGAGTTGAAAGAGTTATATCACATGAAATACGCTTTGTACACATGCCTTTTATAAAACGTTGCACTTTTGATGTTTGACTGCATCTCGCTTTCCTTTCATCTCTTCTTGTCAGATAGCTCCTCAAACTCACATCGAAGGAAACTCCTGGTATGTGAGGTCCGGTATTTCCTCATCCGTTGTCGACAGGAACTCAAGATCTCATTTGACTTTCTTCCCATATTGGACATATTGGACTGTAACAATGTTTAAAAAATCATTAAGGTTAGAATTACGACGACCGATTGACGACTGATGGACGATTTTAAATTGAATTTTTTATCAATTGTTATCAGGCACAGAAACTGGTCTTTGAATGACTTCATTCGGACTTGCTATGACTGCCAATTGTCCGACCCTTGTCCCCCTTCTGGAGCATTTGTATACGACAATCATGTAAGTAATGGAATTAGTGTGCGATGAATATTCATGCACTCAGTGAAAGAACGACTACATTCTCTGAATCCAACGAATCTATTTATGTTTGTTTCTCTGAGGGAATGATGACAACGAACCCTAAGAATGGCAAACAGCCATTTCCAGACGTTGATGAAGAAAATACAGCATTGAATACTTTTATAATTTCCTTTTAACATTTGGATAAATGACAAACTTTGCAACTGAGATATTTGATCCGATAGGAACAATTAGATGGTGAAAAAGAAGTATACATGTATGTTATTATAATGAGCATATCTAAGATATACACTATTTAACGCAATACTTTAACCTTACCAATCGATCTGTAATGATTGCGTAAGTGAACCTTTACAGTCACGTAGGCAGTAGAACAGCCATATCCTGACTGGAACAAGTCATACATGATTGATACATTTTCAGACAATAAAATCTGTCGACAAACGACAGTTAAAAAAACTAGACTATCATAAATTTGTATTATAACTAGCAGTGTAACTTAAAACTATATTATCGCACATGACGACTCCATATACAAACGGTCTAGCCTACAAACGAAGGTAGACCACCATACCGTCATGGACAATACAGTACAATAAGATACCAATCGATCTGTATTTCATGAAAATGGCATATGATGTCTTGCGTGTACGGTTATCTGTGTTATATCAATAGCATGTTGGTATATAATAAATAACCATGAACAGTTCATGGATCTTTCTAACTTATATTCCAATCGCACCGAGCCACTAATTGACACGTACAAGATGAATGTTAAAATAAAAGTGTTATTGCCGTAAGCCTTCCTGAGCAGCTGTAGTATTTCATCACTACTCCCTGGTCATGCTATTTTTTTAATGTTTACCTTTGAAAATTCCTTCCATATATAACTTCAGAGAGTACAGTTTCTTATCATAGACCTCTATGGTAACCAACAGTGTGAAATTGATATTGTTAACTGGACTGGAATGGCATGATGAGGCGTTATTTGCCTTCGGTAGATACTTATACTTGAACATCTTTTTCTGTTGACAGACATTTTGATATATATAACCTTCAGGCGTGATTCGTGATTAGTTGCAAATATGAAATTAGTGAAGTACTTCCCTTGCTGTCCTTTGCAGTGTGCAAGAGGTTTACCGTAGCACAGAAATGAAAAACATAATATTTAAAATTAAAATACATGAACACACGGTGTCATCACATATTTCAAGCGATCCGTACACATATTTGTTTTTTGTGTTTTGACCTTTTACTCAGTACAGACTCATCTGTTTTGCCGCTCAATATTCGAAATTCGAGACTCGTTATTCTCTGGCGTTGGCAAGTTTAACTTTATGATTCTAGTTGCACTGTCACTGCTTTTTTGCCTTGTAAACCTATTCTCTGACACTGACGTATTGAATTAACAAAAATAGCTGAGATACGTCAACAGATCTTGGTCTCATTAAAATATAACACTCACAGAGTAAGTGTTATTTTTGACAACCGGTTGATTGATTATTTTCATTTTTTTTGACAAACACATCAACGCAAATGAGGCATATCTGCTTTTTCCCATGAAAGAACAAACGTGAAAAGAAACATATAAGAGATTATATTAGCTGTCAGAGTGCCAAAATCCTAAAGGTTTACTTTCTTTCTAATTTGATCATTTTACATCATTTGCGCTATCACAATACTACTCGGTGAGAAACACACCATCTACAGATGAAACCCCGCAAACATTCAGATTGTTAGATGTAAAACTCAACTCACTCACTCTCTATCAATATATGACATTGTTTCCAATGATTACACCTTTCAAATGGTAATGCATGTGTAAGGAACATGTTCTGAGAGTTAAGCGTTGACGGAAAGTAACTATTCCATTTACTTAATAAAACAAATATTCTCTTTTAGATTTCATAACGTCATAGTTACTGATAAGCATATTCATAAATTCAGAAGAATTCTCAACATGCTCCTGCTGACAGACCTGGATAATCAATTTCTTCTTTCTCACAAGTCAGGAATTCCCTAATTATTTCAGGTGAACAATTGATTACACTTTGCATACTAGTATGTTTATGACGGGTCCCACCGATGGGTCAGGATACGCTCACCTTTTCGCGAACACCAGGTATCATCACTATCTCATAGTGATTCATAAACACATGTTCTGTCTTCGTATAGCATGGTGACAATCACTGGATTTTCCGGTCCAGACTCGATTTCTTTACAAAAACATACAATGCTGCTGAAACAAATGTATGCTTACGATATAGTAAAAATTGTACAATCGACTCTGCTTTCAGCAGATTTCTTATGAATGTGGAAAGCGTTTTGTCGCTTCAGTTTCCTTTAGAGTAAAAGCTCAGTCGGTGTGATGTCTTGCTTACATATACGCCGGGCCACTCTCCAGGACACGGTTGAACTTTCACACCATATTAAACGGATAGGCCTTATTACTCACATTGGCGTATTCTTGAAAGACCTAGGTCGAAATGTACCATGGTATATAACTGACCGAGAAAAACCTATATTTTTTAGAAGCATTCTCACAAACAGTTCTAAATTTACAGACACACACGCACGCATACACACACACACACAGGAACACACACACCGTCGCCACCACCCAACGCCCCACCCAACTTGATTCTACACAGACTTGCAAGAAGTTGCTTCTATAAATCATAACTTTGTGTGATTCACATGATAGTGACGTATTGCTCATGATAATGTGCCTGTAAATATTGATCAAGGGCTTTGCTATGACGGAAATAAATCTAAAGTAGAAGCGAATCTGTGAAAATGATCCAAGCATTGTGTAAACCTCTTTACAAAAAGTGACACTAAATACTGCTTTGGACAAACACATATTGATTTACCGAGAAGCTGCTACGACAAAGATGGTTTTAGTATTGGATGTACACATATGCTAATTAGATTATCCAGTGACAATATCCAAAATTATGTTATACAGTGCAGCTTCTGAAATAACAGTATGTGTCCATCGTGCCCTTTCGACAATACATCTTCCTCAGATTGTATTTCATCATATATTAGCTTACATTTGGATACTCTGTTACCTATAAACTAGTTTACATGGTTCTTTATCCATCCTTGCAAATTGATCCACAAGACACATTATATATATCAGTCTGCATATTGTGATTGAAAATGGTGATCTGTTAATTTTTTACAATATATACTTCATAGGAGGTAAACTCCCTTTAAGATCGTTGATGGTTGCCAATTGCAGGATTTTTGATATGAGTAAACTATACTATAACTGTTTGCTACACCACACTGTTCCATATAGTTTTTAGACCGTAATATTTTCGATCAAGGAAATAGATGCTGTCAAAACATCCTGATCTGATAGACGATGAAGGTTGTCTGCATTGTAATCAGCTGCTGTAATCAGTTATTGTATTGATTCTCGGGTGATTTCTATCAAAGTATAAAATGTTTGGGGTTTTTTGTACATCCAGTGTACCAATAACGCAATGATTTTCTTTGAAAAACGACTCTGATTCATATTTATTATCATTTTGTTGGCATTACCATGGAATCAGAATAATAAACCTACGCCTGTTTATGAACGTTTGGGATAAACATGCTTTACACTCCATAAATATATTACATGATCATGTTATTATTGTTAGAATTGTTCAATAGTCTAACATCAAAACAATAGCTTTCTTGCTAGCACCATATACCACTCATCCCAAACAAGTAAGGATGCTGCTGCACTCACTCAGTGCATGTACATTATCCTGCTACTGTGTCAAGATGTCAGAAACACTAAAGCCAAGAAATATTTGCAATGGTTCACAACTTTCAGGGGCAAATGATGTGGATCCGTTGGCCGTTTCAGCTTATTAACCTTGAAATCCCGAAGACAATTATTCATTTTTCTGCAAGCCGCGATTTGGGTGTGTCAATGCGTATAGACTGTCCTCAGCATATGTTACTCCTAAGTAAAACTCCAAGACCTACGCTAAAAGGGTATGCTGCCTCCTAAAATCTGTCTTTACGGCTCAGTATGAATAATGTGATTGTTCTGACAAACACAGATGTTTCCTGGGTGTCTGAGGATTAAAACCCTCTCCGTCTACAGAATACAGACTGCACTGGTCGTCTTTCAAACAATGAATGATATCTCATCACTAAACAGATGGATTCAGTTAACTAGAAGTGGTTTGTTTTTTTCATACATTAAATGAATTGAAAGGTTTGAAGGCTCTGCTCGCTGTCCTTGAAGGCTCTGCGCTCTGCTTTCTGTGTATCGTGGCTCTCACACATAATCTACAAATTGAATATTTTCTCCTAAAGCAATACTTACTTAGTTTGTAACGGATGTTCAAAAGGAGCGACACCAATTTCTTCTCGATCTTCATACTTAATGGAATTACTTGGGTGTCTATGATCTCTTAAATTTCGCCCATGGGGAAATCTTTATTCGAGTTTTGTTGCTAATTTAATCGTAAAAGTAGAATTATATATCCATGTTGCTTTATGTCAGAATGTTGTAATGGATAATGCCTACATACATGTACACTGTCTGTTTGTCCTTTATCTACTTTGCTGGTTGAGGTTGAAAATGAGAGACACATAAAAATACGAATGGTCTCATAGACATAGGTACACACGGGATACACCCGAACCGGCCCCAAGCCGACCCGGCCCCTGGATATTTAACCCAAACCGGCCCCTGGATATTTAACCCAAACCGGCCCCGCAGGGGACGGTTCGGCTTGGGGCCGGTTCGGGGGTAATTCGTACACACCTGCAGCAATCTCATATGGTCATGAAGGTTAAATGAACACCAAACAAACAGTTTCACGAGGTCTGAACTTGTGATTAATACAAGAATATACTTCTATATTTGTCGGACTGTCATTGCCAGCTACTCCATTAAGAACATATACCTGATCTATACCATTGAAAAGAACTCTCATTTAGAATATGTCACATGACGATGGCTTCACATCTTACGGATACATATCTATATCTGTGTTGTATATCATTTGTATTAGACGCGAACTTAGTCCTAAAAATAAACGTTCAATGAAGTCAATTTCTATCAAATCTACCGGGGGTATCACAACACTACCTTGAAACCGTACCTTCGTCTGAAACATAAGACGTTTTCTAATTCTGTGTTTGAATGTCGACATTTAATTATGTTGTTTATATAGCATCTACAATTACTTATTCTTTGGTTGGTATTTGCTCAACACGCTCAACAGGTTCTGAAGTACCATACCGTTACATTTTAAAAACTAATAATCATGTGAGATGTAGTGGCAGTACGTTCAAAATAGACAGCATAGTTCACTCTTTTATTCCATTTCATCAAGCTGTCTTGATTTAATGCGTTCTTTACTTTGTATTTCAGTTTTACCGTTGTTTTTCAGTCATAAAAAGATCAAAGCTGCTTAAATATAGTCTGACAGAGCATTTCTCTACTCTCCATACAAATATCCTTAGAAGTATATGTTTTGAGATAAAACTATGAATTTAAAGGAGATGATCTATTATTGAATACAGAATATCCACAAAAACCTGTTTGTTTGTTAACAGCGTCAAAATACATACATTTAAAAGATAATAGTTACACAACTTCTTTGAGTGGCATTTTAGAAGTTGGGAAGTACAATATAGAACAAACTTTATGGATAACAACTTCTTTTTATTCGTGAGTGCGACGTTTAGATACAGATTCTAGTACCGTTGTCAAGCATAATGGAACATGAAGAAGGGGGAAGTATATATACACTGGATGTAGTTATACAGTCGAGCACCGTTGTGTCGAACTCTGATAACTCGATATCTCGGTTGTCTCGATATAACATCTCGGTCCCGGCAAAATCCTTCATAATTCATCATTATTCAAGCTCTTTTAACTCGACACGGATGTCTCGATATTTCGGATATCTCGATATAATTCCATGGTCCCAACAAGCAAAATTACCCTATCAACTCGATATTTGCAAAGAAACTCCATATTCACCTACTTTTCATGAAGCAAGTATCCCTCTGAACTGAGGTTGTTTCCACACGTTTACACACAGTAGGCATGAATCAAAGGGATGCGGTAGTGTAAACTAATTAGGGTTAATTGAGTTGAAGTTGTCACTTGTTTGTTATTTAATTAGGATTAACTAAGAAGGAATTAATTAGGAAGTACTCACTGTTACGACTAAACACTACTGATAACGGATTATAGTTTCGAATCAAAACATACTGAGAAGCGTTTTGTTTTCTTTCATAGTGATATGCCATGATATGCCCTGGTCGGATGTCTCGAAGTTCGGATAACTCGATTTTTTGCTTGGTCCCATTAATATCGAGACAACGGTGCTCGACTGTAGTTGCAACAAGCCACGATCTTATTAAACTGATCATCGTTGTGAAAGTACTTACAGAGGATTTGGCCCCAGAAGACCTTTGAAGCCCTTTCTTCTGTCAGCATGTTTCATACATATCACAGGAGGAACTGGCGATCATGTTTAACACTTTTGCTTGGATTAATGAAGTTAGTTTAGTTTGACTCAAACTGATTCTCTTAGTATTAGCATAAGAGTATGCGCATAGCATGTTGGGATTAGATATATCTGATTTTGTGAATATTTGTACATGTCAGAGGAACAATAGAGGTTCAAATTATCAGAATGAACGATTCAATGACTTTAAGTCGATTTATGTCCTTATTTGATCATTTTTACACAAATGTAAATGTTGATATTTCAGTGATGTGAGGGGCAAAGTAAAGTCTCGGTGATGTTTAGGTGGGGGAAACCAAGACTGGAGTTTCATTTTAATGCCTTGGCCTCCACGATGTCCCTAAGCTTTAGAGAATTTGCTGTTACAATAACTGTCATACATCTACGTATAGAAACACCGTCACGGATTAAAATGATGCTTTACCATCATATAACTGTAATACTGTTCACAATGGCGTTGAACGTAGCTCATTCAAACTCAGAAATGTTTCCCAACGTGAAGCCCAAGGAGATTAGTTGATTGATGACGCTTTGTGAACAGTGTCAATGGACTAGAACTGAAGTGTCACACCGTAATGGGTTGTCGTACTCCAGTCAATAATTCAGAAAAGAACCAAGGATCTACAACATACTACAGGCGACACATTCATACAATATGACATAGAAACGGCTTGTAAAGAATTGACATCATATTTTGGGAAAGCTATTTCATATCGAATTACTCTGATCACGTCTTTGTTACTGATAATCATGTTTTGATAATTCTATTATCGAGCGCCTCTGCACTCTTACGCTCCTCACAAAACTAGTAATCAAGTTACTCTATCACCAGTCAGTGTTTCATTTCCTTTATTTCGATTGAAGGTATGGGCCACATGATGTCTTTTGTAAATGGATTCCATGTGATGTGGAATTGTCACCATTCAGGTCAAAACATTTTAAGCATAAACTTGAAAGATCGTCGCACAAACTCTAACATTACCTGGCTGGCAAGAAACTAATGTCGATCAGCCAACAATCGTTGTTAAGCAACCCTTCTTTAAATACGTCTGATCCGCATAATCTTGAGATTTTCACGAAGCTACTCAAGACGTAAATATTGATTCGATTTTTCATTATGTCTGAATATGTGACTTGTGCGTTCTTCCATCATATAAAAATGTAAGAATCCCCCCAAACAGGGTTAATCCTATGATTCTCTTTCCAACATAAACCCATCTTTGAACTCAATAAAAATACTATTGATGATACCGGCTGTTTTGGGGAAGGTGAGCGGGTCCTGTCTCCTTGGTGTCACAAACACATACAAGGCAAAGCCAATTGATCTCCCTGAATACACACGAAAGTATGGTACATGTCAGAATATGAAATAGCAACTGGCAAACAAGATATAGACTTTTAGAAACTACGATCTTGGTCCTGTTCCGGAGAGCGATTTTAATATTACGATTGTAGTAAGTCCGTCTTAAATAGTCAGTAGCTGACACCCTAAGATCGTTTTGTAGAAAAAGACCTGGACGTTTGTAAAGAAGGATCTTTCAAAACTTTGGAAAAATATTAAACACGTTTGACTTTAAGAAATAGATAGGCCAGCGGTGATATATTTGATCTTCACTGAAAGAGCACATATTTGTATTCACATATATGGTTGAATAATGTAACGTTCAACTCTTGTAGTCACCTGAGAAAAGAAAACGCTCTACTCTCCGTACGTCACCAAGGCTGGAGGTAATAACTTTGATTTAGAGAACGGAAATATTACTGTAAAGGTCTGTTACCGATTTGTAATTAAATACAACTGTAACGGGGTGCTCACGTTCTGAACGAAACACTGACAACAAGAGTTTGCATCATCACACAGAATGTGAGTCAAAATAGATCCCTCCAAATTACGTCCTAACAACAGTGTTACAAATGTTACAACACAGTTATAAGAATTATGTGAGCTATGATAACATTTAATTTAAGTTTGTCAACAAAAATAATATTTATATACATGTGATTAAAGTGTCCATGGGAACGGTTTATCAAATGATAAAGGGTTGTTTTTCTATAGTAAAATGGGTTTTATTCGAAAAGTATTTTTATGAGTGTTTTGATGCAATATGATTTTCGCACACCAGTTGTCAATTTGTGTTCTATTTTATTAATCATTTGAGTATAACATGCAACCAAATTGGTTTCATAACTCACCCCAATAGATTATTATGTACCATACAGTTACATCTCTGAAACTGATAACGAAATGTGTCTGTTGCAATTGAAACAATTTAAGATAATCACATGTGAACGTACTACATTGTATGTTCTGTTAAAATTTAAGTCAAAGAAGTGGAAAGGTTCGTTGTGTAAGCACTTTATAATCCTATTATTGCCGACAAGAACTTCTGGAAAGAACTTGAAACACACAAACACACATATTGGAACAGTAGACATGCATCACTATACTTGTTTGACAGCTTAATGCATCCTCTTGGTTTAAGTTCAATGTCACCATTAAACAGATTAAAGAAGCTTTGTTCCTTAGGGATTGGTAGGAGTTTACATGATCCCTTCTCTAACATTACAAACAATGTGTATTATTGCAAACGTTTTTCTGTGACACATAGAGTAATGACACCACTACCTTGAATATTGCTCGTGAAAATTCCATTTATACTGTGATATGTTTCAAAAACGACATAAAACGTATTCGGCTTACGGATGAGCTGCTAGGATTGTGAATGTGACCTCGAGTTGAAAGAGTTATATTACATGAAATACTCTTTGTACACATGCATTTTACAAAGTGTCACTTTGCACTTTTGAAGTTTGACTGCATCTCGCTTTCCTTTCATCTCTTCTTGTCAGATAGTTCCCAAAACTCACATCGAAGGAAACTCGAGGTATTTCCTCATCTTTGTCGACAGGAACTCAAGATCTCATTTGACTTTCTTCCCATAATGGGCATATTGGACTGTAACAATGTTTGAAGAATCATTAAGGTTAAAATTACGACGACCGATTGACGACTGATGGACGATTTTAAATTGAATTTTTTATCAATCGTCATCAGACACAGAAATTGGTCTTTGAATGACTTCATTCAGACTTGCTATGATTGCCAATTGTCCGACCCTCGCCCCCCTTCTGGAGCATTTGTATACGGCAATCTTGTAAGTAAATTTTAAAAAATTAGAAAATACTCTTATGATAAACTTTGCAACTAAGAATGAGTGAGTGAGTGAGTTGGGTTTTACGCCGCTTTTAGCAATATTCCAGCAATATCACGGCGGGAGACACCATAAATGGGCTTCACGCATTGCAACTAAGATATTTGATCTGATAACAACAGTTGGATGGTGAAAAAGAAGTATACATGTACTTTATTATGATGAGCATATCTAACACATACATTATTTAACACCATTATTTAACCTTTCCAATCGATCTGGAATGGTTGAGTAAGTGAACCTTTACAGTCACGTAGGCAGTAGAACAGCCATATCGTGACTAGAACAAGTCATACATGATTGATACATTTTCAGACAATAAAATCTGTCGACAAATGACAGTTAATAGAACTAGACTATCATAAATTTACATTAAAACTAGCAGTGTAACTATAAAAACTATTAAAACTATATTATCGCACATGACGACTCCATATACAAACGGTCTAGCCACCAAACGAAGGTAGACCACCATACTGCCATGGGCAATACAATACTATGATACCAATCGGGCTGTATTTATTCTGATAATCGAGTTTAGTTATACGCCGCACTCAGCAATATTCCAGCTGTATGGCAGCGGTCTGTAAATAATCGAGTCTGGACCAGACAATCCAGGGATCAACATGAGCATCGATCTGCGCAATTGGGAACCGATGACATGTGTTAACCAAGTCAGCGGGCCTGACCACCCGATCCCGTTAGTCGCCTCTTACGACAAGCATGGGTTATTGAAGATCAATATTCTAACCCGGACCTTCACGGGTTGTTATATTACAAGGATGTGGGTATATGATAAATAACCATGAACATTTCCTGGATCTTTCTAACTTATATTCCAATCGCACCAAGTCACTTATTGACACGTACAAGATGAATGTTAAAATAAAAAAGTGTTATTGCCGTAAGCCTTCCTGAACAGCTGTAGTATTTCATCACTACTTCCTGGTCATTCTTTTTTTTTTTAATGTTTACCTTTGAAAATTCCTTCCATATATAACTTCAGAGAGTACAGTTTCTTATCATAGACCTCTATGGTAACCAACAGTGTGAAACTGACATTGTAAACTGGACTAGAATGGCATGTGGAGGCTTGTTTCACAGTCGGTACACGCTTATACTTGAATTTCTTTTTTCTGTTTACAGAGATATTGATATAAATAACCCTATGTTGTCATTCGTGATTAGTTTTCACGGGGCTGCAAATATGAAATTAGTGAAGTACTTCCCTTGCTGTTCTTTGTAGTGTACTAGTGGTTTACCGCAGCATTGGAATGAAAAAATAATATACATGAACACACGGTGTCATCACATATTTCCATATTGTCTTTTGTGTTTTGACCGTTACTCAGTATAGACTCATCTGTTTTGCCACTCAGTATTACAACTTTCAAATGGTAATACACGTTTAAGGGGCATGT